ATAATATTTTAACGTGTAAAAAGGAGTCCTATCTTTCAGAAATATGCAGTGAAGTCTTTACAGAGGAAATGATTGGGGATTCACCTCAGAGTAAAGCTCAGCCATGAGTTAATCATTGTTGAAGCAGGCACCGGGCACCAGGGGGCTCATCATGCTATCCGTCTACTTTTGGATATGTTTGAAATTTCCCACAATGAACAAATTTAAAAGTCCAGTACAGTCTTCCTAAGCTCAAAACTCCCTTCTCAAATCAGATTACAAGGGCATCCCCTCCCCTGTGGGCAGGTGTGGTCTGTGTCTTGCCCTCCCTTGGAGCTGAGGGGGAGCTGAAGGGGAGAGCATTTGCAGGCCCTTTTCTCCTAGCTTGGCCCCTCTGGAGTTGGGCTGAAGAGGAGGATGCAGGATGCATTATTGTCTTAGTTAACTGAAGGCTTCTTCGCCTGGCTATGGGAGCTGTTACAGTCTGGATCTGCTTGTCTCTGGCAACCTCCATCAATGTAGATGGAACATGAGACCTTCTGGGGGGACCTTAGGCCTCATCCTGTACTCCTCACTGCCGAGGCTGTGCTTCCCTGTGGCCCCTTCCTGCGGCCTACACCTCTTCCTCTGAGATGGGGCATCTCCCACCTGGGCCATCAGCTCAGGGCAGCGTGGTAGCTCCTGTCCCTCCCTTTGCATCCTCTGAGGGTCATGGGGCAGTGTGGATCCCTTCTCCCATGCACTCAATTGTACACTTCAAAATGGATATAGTAGTAAAAGGGGGGAGGGGAAGAGTAAGAGCACCATCATTCAATTTTTATGAGGATTAAGTTAGTTAAATTCAAGGAGATAACCTTTGCAGAGTGCTTAGACCAGGGCCTGGCACAGGGTAGGTGCTACAGAAGTGTTGCAGAGAAAAAGAGATGGAGCACAAACCCTTGGAAGGAAGGGAGATGAAGAGACCAGACCACAGAGGAAAAGCTTCCACCTTTTCCGAAGAGGTGGTCAGCAGGGCCTGAGAACATAGTCCTACAGCTCTCTTCACCAACTATAAGCAAGTCTTCTATGACACACAAAGAACTCCCAGTGGCCCCCAGAACACGGCGCCCTCCTGGGGGAGCCAGCTCAGCAGACTCTCTGGGATCTCTTTAGAGCAGGGATCGGCACTGGGGTGGACATGGGCTACCTGCCAGACACCCAGCCCTCCCCAACCAGAAAAAGCAGGAGAGATGCTACTGTTCTCCACACTGTCCAGGACAGTATGATCTACCTGTGGACAGAAAGCCTTAAAGGTACACCATGAAACCCCATCCCCCGACTCCAGGCCTCTTGGATGGACCGCCCCATGGGTACTCTCAGTGAAAGGCTTCCAGCTGTTGTCTGTGCGCCCTTCCCATGCATCTTGAGCCTCATCTCACCCTCCACACTTCTTGCCTCCTACACTGTGGCCTCGCCCGCCCGACTCTGCCCAGGTCCCTCACACGTGCTCCTCCCACCCCTCAGCCTGTCCTATGCGGTCCTGTACCTAGCATTCTTCCCTCCCTTCTTTGCCATTTCAACCCAGTACACTCAGATCTCAGCTCATAGAACACGTGCTCATCTAGCCATGTGCCTGTCCCTGGTACCATCTGTCATTTGTCTGTGTGACTTTTATTAATGTCTTCTGTGCTCTGAGTTCCCAGTGGCCGAGCCCCAGGAAGAAGGACTAGGGGACTCCCAGCCACTCCCTCCCCTCCCATGTACTCACCATCATTGATCCTCCCAGCCAAGGACTCTGCACTGAAGCCAGCAAAGACAACGGTGTGGACGGCACCAATCCTGGCACAGGCCAGCATCGCCGCCACAGCCAGTGGGGACACAGGCATGTAGATGGCCACACGGTCCCCTCGACGAACTTCATGCCTCTTCAGCGTGTTGGCCAGGCGGCAAGTGGTCTCCAGCAGTTCCCTGTGGCAGACAAGAAAGATGGCCATCAGAGATGGGGGAGGGACAAGGAACAGAATTTGGTGTGGAATAATTCTGCAAACTGTAAATACTGTACACCAGGCCCAGTGCCTGGCGCACAGCAGGCACTCGAATGCTTGTTTCATAGAAAATTCTTCACCAGAAAGAAATAATTTTAACATTTTAGCCTGGTAGTGACACAGAGGTATAATGGATTACACCTCAACATAAAAAAAACAAAAATCACAACCGGACCTCACACTTGGACCAATAAGCAACATCATGATAAATGGAGACAAGACTGAAGTCAAGGATTTCATTTTACTTGGATCCACAATCAACACCCATGGAAGCAGCAGTCAGGAAATCAGACGATGTATTGCATTAGGCAAATCTGCTGCAAAAGACCTCTTTAAAGTGTTACAGCAAAGATGTCACTTTCAGGACTAAGGCAACGCCTGACCCAAGCCACGGTATTTTCATTTCCCTCATATGCATGTGAAAGCTGGACAATGAATAAGGAAGACCAACGAAGAATTGATGCCTTTGAATTGTGGTGTTGGTGAAGAATACAGACTATACCATGGACGTCAAAAGAACAAACAAATCTGTCTTGGAAGAAGTACAGCCAGAATGCTCCTCAGAAGCAAGGATGGTGAGACTTTGTCTCACCTACTTTAGACACGTTATCAAAAGGAGCTAATCCCTAGAAAAGTACATCATGCTTGGTAAAGTAGGTCAGCAAAAAAGAGAAAGAACCTAAGCGGGATGGACTGACACAGTGGCTGCAATAATTGGCTCAAACGTTGTGAGGTTGGTGCAGGACCAGGCAGTTCTGTTGTACATATGGTCGCTATGAGCTGGAACCAACTATATGGCACCTAACAACAGTGAAAGAGATTTACTGACTCATGGTTGAGGTTTAGAGCAGGGCTTCTCCTCATCAGTACCCACAAGTATCCAAAGCAAAACTATCATATCACTGAAACTACTGAAACCCCTCACCTCCCAAAAGGATAACATTTCATAAGACATTTATTGGGGAATAGTAAGGGCCCAGTTTTGTGACCCAGCACAGGCCCAATGGAACCAAGCAAAACTCTTGCCAGGCGGCAGTGCTCAAGCAGGACACCAGCCCCCACGTTTGCAGAGGAGGTGACTGAGGATAGTCACTCTCCCTGCAGCCCAGAGACTGGGTGGGGGGCAATGAAAACACCCGTATTTCATCAAACACTCCCTGTGATTCTCTGACCGCTACAGGACCAGAGACGAGTTAGGCATCTGCTGCTTCGGGGCACTCCGCCCTCTCCAGGGATGCCCCACCCCCACTGGAACCCTCTCTCCACCTGGTGTGGGCAGGCTGACCCCTCTCCACTCCTGAGGTTAGCAAGGTTCAGCCCACCAATCAGAGTACCGCATCTCCCTTGTAAGTGGCTGAACGCGGCCCAATCAGAGTCCAAGACACAACTCCGCGGAAACGGGGAGGAAGCCCAACAAAATGGAGAAAAGCAACCACGGGACTGAAGCAAGCAAGTCCAATCCCGCGAAAGTTGTTCCAGCACGGGATCCTGACACCAGCATCAGGATGGACTTTGCAATTGCAGTATCCAACCATTTTCCCTTTTTCGCCCTCCATAGTTTGCTCTTAATTTATAGTTATTTGCAATGAAAGAAGACCTAACAGAGGCGGACAGATGAGAGGAGCGGAAACCAAGGCCCCTTCCCACTGGGTTGGGGTGGGTGGTCAGCACGAACGCACCTGCCCTCCTCAGGGCCACAAAGCAGACCCTCGTTGGAGCGCCCCCTACCCCTGACAACTGTTTGCACACTCCCGTGTGTTCAAAGGCTTGCCAAGGAAAGGGCTCCCGAGAAAGGCGAAGCTCAACAAGAGGTAGCCAGGAAACCACAGCGGAATGAAAATGAATGTCCAGTCTCAGGCAGGGACCTCAAGGGGGTCTTTGTTTCCCACAGCCATTCTGCAGAGCAGACCTATCATGAACCAGATCACAAGCCCCACTGCCAGGCCCATGGTGTCTCATGCCCAGGCTGGCTCAAGCACGCCACTTCTGCTGGATTTCATCGTTTCTCCTTAGAGCTTTCAGGAAGAGGACAAAGGTGCCATTCTTTAGCGCCCACCCACCGCTCGCTTAAGTTTATGATGAAAGAAGGAGCACCCCAGCCCCCAACACCAAACTGCACAGAATCCAAGGCCCAGAAACACTCCTACTCCTCCAAGGGCGGAGGCTGGGATGGCCTGAGTGTGAAGAGGCAGCAGCAGCATCACTACTGCAGAGGAGTAAGTCAGGTCTGCAGTCAGGCTCCCTTTTCACAGCTCTGAGGGCCTAAGCCTCGGTGAGGACCAAAGGCAACAGTCTGAAGTCAAGGAAAGAACATAGCCTTTCCAGACAGAGAGACCTGGCTTAGATCTCTGAGGTAGCTACTTAAACACGGAGCTTACCTCTCTCAGCCTCCATGTGATCATCTGAGAAACAGCAGGGCTGTTCACCTTGTAGAACGGTTGCAAGTATTGAGAAGTGTGACCCATCTGGGACCCTGCTAAACATTCAGAAGACATTATCTTTCCCATTATGACACGGTCTTTAGCATCAAATGGAAACTGCCATAAACATTTGTTTGACATTATTTTCTAAAATGACTAAAATCGGCTAACTCACTTTGATGGATTCGGAAGATGTTCAGAACTCTGTTGTAGGCATTATGGGAGTGAGGGTGAATGAGGGCGTTGGTGACAGACAAAGGAAATAAGACGGAAAGTACCCTCCTCAAGGAACATAGCTCTGACTTGGGAAAATGCAGAACAAGACACCAAGGGCAACCGTGAAAGGTGGACGGTAGTATGGTTGGCTTTGGAGAGAAAGAGCAAAGCTGCAGAGACGAAAGGAATGCCACACTTAGCCCACAGGACAGAAGTCATCCGGCCCCCTGCCCGCAGCAGATAAAGGCAGCAGGGCTGGGCAGCCAGCATGCGCCACTGGACGGTCTGGAGAGATAAGGCTGAGGCAGGCTGCAACATGCTGCTCACGTTCCCTGAAGGACCAAGAGGCCTTCCGCATGAGCTGGAGCTGGGTCTGGCGGGTCCCACATCTTGGTGCTGCACCCAGAGGTGAGGTTTCTGATAAAGAATTTGATCTGGACTCTACGTAAAAGGTAAATATGAGACACACCGCCTCTTGGCAATACACCTTGAGGCCAGTGAGATCCTTGAAGGCCAAAGAATGCAGCCTTCCTGGGGGCTGCAGAATCCCGCTCCCACATTCCTTCCCCACAGCTGTCCAGCCTCCATTTGAACATTTACCGTGCCAGAGGTCACCACACCATGAGGCTGCCCCTTTGTCATTTTAATAGGGAAACAGTCTTCCTAAAATTGGACCAAGATTTGAGCTCTTCAAGTTCCACTCCTTGGTCCAAGCTCAGCCCTTTGAAGCTGCCCAGAATAAGTCTCATTTGTCATTCAATTCCTGAATCTCCCCACCATCACCACATCCTCTTGGAAGCCTTTTCTCTCCCAGGCTCTCTAATTCAAACCTCTATGACCCCAGTCACTCTCTCTGGATACCCCAGGTGACCAAAAGGACTCTCCCAGCCCTGTGGTGTCTGTTCAGACCCATGACCTGAACTCTATACTTAATAAAGTAAACTAAGAGCACATTAATTTTCTAATGTTTTAATACCTGACAGGTGGCTCAGTCATGTTGATGAGCTCACTAATCCCCACCCTTCCATCCCCAAATACACATAAAGTTGCTGACCGAGCCTCTGGCCAAGCCCGTGGGCCCTTGCGCCTGCAGGCCTCCTGCAGGATGCTCTCACTGTGGAATCCAGATAGGAACCCTGTAGCCAAGGCTGTCAGAAAGCAGTTCCTAAATTCCCAGCCTATCGGATGAGAGCAAGGGAGTGGGATGAGTGACCACTGCCCTAACAGCAAGAGCCAGTCCACAGAGCCCAGTACACCATGAAGCAGCAGCTCCTACCAGAGGAACAGCCAGGGGCTGAGCACTGGCTTTCCCAGGCCCCAAGAAGACTGAGCCCCCATCACCAGCAGGAAGGAGTCTTCACACCTTGCTGGACCCCAAGAACACCGCAGACCTCCCTATGTCTCCCTATTTCCTCTGCGCCTGCATCCCCCCTTCTCGCTCCCTGACCCTCTCTCCCCCTGCCCTTTTCCTCCTTTCCTGCCCATCCCCCATCTCTCCCTCTGCCTCTCCAGGTCCCTCTTGAGCAGATTCCCAGTCTCCATCACACACTTCTCCCCTACACTTTCTAAGTCCGCACAGGGGCAGGGAGATTTAGGGGGAGAAGAAGGGGGAGAGAGGTGCAGAGAGGAGTTCCCACGACCAGCCTGCCCCAGCCACTCACTTCTGCTCAGGGTTCTTGGGTGGAGATCCAGGGAAACTGGTCCACTAGCTTTCCTGAAGGCCCCAGATACACTGGCACCTCTGATGGTGGAGTGTGGGGTCAGGGCATGGAGGTAGAAATGCCAGCCCCCATGTCTCAGGCAGGGCCTCACCTGTCCACTCCACAGGCATTTGATGATGGCCAAGATTCTGGAAGATGACCTACTCCTTTGCCAACAGCCGCACCGACACCGCGCTCCTTGGACATGCTGTTGGGCACTGCCTCAGGCTCGCCCATGACTCGATTTCTCTCCGCCTCCTGCTCCCTCGGCAGAGAAGGAACATCAGCTGCTGCACTTCCAGAGAACCCACCAGAGATGGGAGTGGGGCTCTTCCATCTCTGGCACATGGACAAGAGGTAAACTAGGTAATCATGTTGGCATGTGGCTGTGAAGATGGACAGACACAAACCGTTTCATCAGCACAGTTACTGCTCTCTCTAAGCCTGGGGCAGACAGGAGGTTAGGCACAGAACTAGAAAAGAGACTCATCTTTCCATCAGTGCAGTGTCTAGAATTTGGGATTTTATTCACGAAGGTGGAAGAGGTGAGAAAGAAAGGATCAGCTTTAGGGAAGGGGACATGGCAA